ATCTAAAATCAGACAGTGACGGCAGCAGGCAATTACAATATTATATTTTTGACAATGAACTATAATTATACATATTACAGATCACCAAGTAGTGATAGGAGCATAGGTTGACCACGGCAATCAGAGTACTTTAATTTATACTCAAATATAAAGTTTTGCATGAAGACAGGAAAATCTGGACATCTCGGTATGTAAGGCGAATGAAAATATATTACGTTGTATCTATATAGTATTTAATAATTGTCAACAAGCTTTGAAGCGCGACCAATTTCCGTAACTCAGTTGGATACATTTTGGTACAAAAAAGAATTCAATTTTTGGTAAAATCTGTTTAGTTTTTGTGGACAACAATGCACATGGAACAAAATGTTCGTATTTAAGATAGGTTTTCGTCTTGTTTCATAATAAACCATCGACCTGCGTGCATACGGCAGCACGGGTACGCCAATTTAATTTGTTAATTAACTGGAATGTCCAAATTAAGGCTGTTTGGTGAAGAATGATAAATGCCCCATTGATTTGAGCATTTTCATTGCTGAAAATCTACTGTGCATATTTTTAACTAATAACAAGGTTATTTTAACAGAAGAAAGAGTGCTTTAATACGAAATGACATAATAACTATAGTAACTCACTGAAACATGCATGCGCAGTTAACCCAGGATTCAAATTCGAATAAAAAGTGTTCTGTGTTCAATCATTTTATTAATATGATTCACTATTATTAAGAATATAACAACAAACGAAAACATGATCTTCCAGGACAAATTTTCTAGACCTGGGGGTGAGTGGAGCGAGTCTGTTTGGCATACAATGCATTGAAATCTGCTGTGTTGATGTAATGTACTCAGGTGAATAAGATGTTTGTGTGATGTTACTCTGAGTGTATATCTACAGCGGGCAGGCTTGAAAAATATGCTTGGCCACGGCGGGATTCGAACATACGCCCTTTTGGAATACTAGCCCAATGCTCTTCCAACTGAGCTACGCGGTCAGGTCGGTTCGAGTATGCGATATTTTGGAACTCAGTCTAGTTCCTTCGATATCAGTATAATCTAATAATCATGAAATCTGCTGTGTTGGTGTATTGGTGTAATGATTCATGATTATTAGATTTTAGTATAATTACATAGGTGATTATTGAAAGTTCTCCACGCTGATTGGTTGCCGTTGAGGTGATTATTACGCGATAATCACCTAAGCGATTTTCAAAATGGCGGCCGAAGCCTTTTGTCAATTAAATGACAAAGAAATGTGTATTTTCTTATTTTTTTCCAAATAATCACCTATGAAATTATACTAAAACAATTATTCACCTCAGGCTCGGTGATTATCGTGAATAAAAACCTCGACTTCGTCTCGGTTTTTATTCACCGATAATCACCTCGCTTTCGGCGAAT